GGCATAAACGTGTCGGCGTAGTTGAGTTCACCGAGGGTCATCACAAATATGGTCATCATGGAATACGGAAAAGTAGCATATGGCTCCTGGAAATTATGATAAGTGAGTAAAATAACCTGTAAATAACTAACTTTTGTGGTGTGAAAGGGGCGGGGGAGGGGGTGGAGTGGCCCAACAATTTGCGGAACAGACTCTGGATCGGGGATTGGGCGGTTCCAATTCGTGCGCTTATTGGGAAAGACATTTTACCCTGAGACCTGACAAAATATAATTCCCTTTCCCCAGGGGGAGTAACGATAAACGGTGTAGAATCCCACTGAAAGGAAACATTAATCTAAGTCACTTAATTTTACAGACAACGAGATCAGCACAGTGTCAGTTAGTTAGCGCACACTTTTTTCCTCACTGCTTGCTACGCTAACATGACATCAAATTTAAGCTATTATCCTAACAGGCATCGCAAAGTTGAAAACAGTATAGTATAGGTAAAAATAATATTAATGTTCAAATAATCTCACCGTTTCTTCGTCCAGCAGCAGATAAAATGTGCTACTAAATGCCATAACGAACATGAAAAACAGAAGCAAAACCTGAAAAAAAAAAAAGATGAATCAAAAATGTCTACAGAAACTAGCCGACGTAAGGACATTCAACGTCTCAGTGAATAAGGAAATAAGGCAAACCACGCACCTTAAACAGGGTGGCAAACATGGTCGTTAGCATAATGATGTATTGCCCGTACGATGAAAACCTGTGTAATGTAAAGTGATGGGATGGTTTTAGATAGGATTATTCAGATCTTCGCTTATCACAACAGACAGGGATTTTCATCGAAGAATTTTGCTTACCTAACATTAGAAATGACAACTTTCTTTACAATAATAACGTAATAATTTATTTCTCATATAGCGCTATATACCATGTATACAGCAGGAAGATTAACAGTGTAATAATAATAAATATTTACAGGAGTAATGCCAAAAAATATCGACAGAGATAAGAGCTAAATTTTCATGAAAAGGATTTAGCCGAATGTTAGTAAAAGTTTCTAAACTTAGAACAAAAGGTAACGTTCAAGGGCAACGTCTGCTGGTCTCTCCTAGTTCATGCGCTCTTGAAACATCTTAATTCACCTTCGAAGGAACAGAATAAGGTTCAACCATCCAAAGAACAATGCCAGAGCTCCCAGTTCCTGCTTGACTCCGAGTTTGCAGTCACAGGGTGGAAGAATGTAGAAGAGAGCCATGACATACCCCGCCCAATCCAGATAGTTGGTAAATGAAAGAAGGTAGTTCAGTTTCTGCAACAGCAATAAACATGTGTTGTTAGCATAAG